GGTTAATAGTTATACAAGGACTGAAATACCTAGCAATATGCAGATAGTAATGAAGCCTCAACTCACTAAAATGACTCCATCTTGCAAGTAAGAAGACTATAAAACCCTTTGAATCTGAAGCTGGCTAAGGGAACTCTCTTTTTGCAAAGAAAGAGATCATTAGTATTAATCCTTGTTTACACTTCCCTATAGATAAATTGAGTCCTGGTATGGCACTGTGGGTTAATGTGATGGATTGCAAAATCAGTTGGAACCACAAGGTCAGCAGTTCAAGATCACCAGTCACTCCTCAGAATCCCTATACAGACTCACTATGGATTGGAACTGACTTCACGACACTTAACAACAACAACATAGATAAATAAGGCTTTCTGATGGTACTATTGGTTAAACACTGGACTGTTAACCACAAGGTTGACAGTTCAATCCCACCAGCCTCTTCATTGGAGAAAAATGAGTTTGTCTTCTCCTGTGAATATGGATTCAGGAACCTTATGCTGTATCACTCTAAATTGGAAATGACTTCATGGCAGTAGGTTTAGTAGGTGTAGATGAATCAGTAGTTAACCTCCACCCCAAAAGCTATTACTGGAATGAAAAAAAAAAAAAAAACACCCTGATATTAACACTATATTATCTGCTTCACAAAACCTCTTGAAAGTGTTGAAGAGCAAAGATGTCAGTTTGAGGACTAAGGTGTACCTGACCCAAGCCATGGTATTTTCAATAACCTCATGGTGGTGGTGTTTGTGTGCCATGGTTTTGATTCCGAATCATAGTGATCCTGTACAGGGTTTGTGAAGATGTAAATCTTTACGGGAGCAGAAAGCCTCATCTTTCTCCTGTAGAACAGCTGGTAGTTTCAAATTGCTGATGCTGCGATTAGCAGCCCAATTTGTAATCACTACACTACCAGAGCTCCTTATGCAATAAGCTCATATGCATGTGAAAGTTGTACAATGAATAAAAAAGACCATAGACGAATGGATGCATTTGAGTTACGGTGTTGGAGGAGAATACTGAAAGTATTATGGACTGCCAACACACAAATACACCTGGATTGGAAGAAAAATAGTCAGAGTGCTCCTTGGAAGGCAGGATGGCCAGACTTTGTCTTTCATACTTCAGACATATTGTCACTGGATAAGGATATCATGGGACCAATCACTGGAGAAAGTTATTATAGTTGGTAAAGTGGACAGTTGGAGAAAAAGAGATCGATTGGCATGGTGGTAACATCAACGGGCTCAAACGCAGTAAAGAATGTGAGGCTGGCCCAGGTTTGGGCAATGTTTCATTCTGTTGTGCATAGGGTCACTATGAGTCAGTACTGACTCGATAGCACCTACTAAGCAACTACCTGATAGTACCACTAAAATTTCTGCCTGTTGGAGACAACATGTAAACATGATTTGAGAAAAAACAGAGCAACACAGAATTTTCCTGAAATTTCTCAGACTACTACCCCATACTCAAGATCCCTATAAATTCTCCTTCCCTTTTTCCCTCTGGTAGCTAGAGGGCATGTAGTCCCTCTGCCTCCTGCACACTGGTATGCCTTACACTTGGATTGCTTCACTACACTCCTTTCTGAAATCCTTGACTTTCTTCATGGCAGAGAGTAGTAATCTGCCATTTTGTATTAATAGTAACCTCAGAAAAAAGCTACCACACCAACAACTAAGAAAACAGATACAAGAAAAATGCTGAACTTCTTAGGGTGTGGTGACTTTTACTGATTATAGTTAGAAGAACCTAGCAATGATTTCAAGTGGAAAACCAGAAAAGAGTATTAGAGATCGTCCCTTCTCTGAACCCAGCATCATAAGTGATAAAAGTGGAAATTTGGAGAAGGGAGACAATACATTATCAAAAAGCACATATGATCAACTCTATGATCTACAAAACAGAGGCAGTGGTGTATCATTAGTATAATTATTCTCTTCCATGTGGAAGATCAAGGAGTCCTGGTAGTGTAGTGGATTATGAGCTGGGCTTCTAATTGCCAATTAGCAGTTCAAATCTACCAGCTACCCTGCAGGAGAAAGATGAGGCTTTCTACTCCCATAAAGATTTACAGCCTCAGAAATCCTATACAGGGTCACTAGGAATTAGAACCGATTCGATGGCACACACACCACCACCACCATGTGGAAGGCCAGGTTTGAGTCCCTACAAATGAATCTCACATGCAGATACCACCTCTCAGTAGAAGTCTATCAGTAGAAGCTTCATGCTGCTCAAAATTTCACAAATATAAGTAGAGATTCCAGACTAAGATAAACTAATAAGAAACACCTGGTGATATACTTCCAAAACTCAAATGAAAGTCATATTATGAATCACAATTGTCTTATCCACAACTGATCATGGGAAGGTGAAGTATCAGGTAGCATTTTCTTGTTCTTGGGATCCCCATGTGTCAGGGATCCAACTCAATAACAACAAAAACAATGTGTAGAGGAAGAAGACATGAGAAGAATTATCATCAGAGATATTGGGGAAAATTACTTTCCTTATGTAAGGTAAGTTGTTTCACATATTTCCCCTTGTGAGATGTGATTATTTTGACATCTTCAGTATCTGCACAGAAAGAGTAAACGTCCTCAAACAAATTAGTCATCTTTCAAGCAAATGTCTCAATGATGACTAGTTCTCATCTTGGTTTCATCTATGGTCATTTAAAAAATTTTATTCTTAACCCAAAGACCGAAATCCATTATATTTGTATCTTTAGTGGTAGGCCCAAGGTATCAATATTATTTAAACTTCACAGATGATTCCAGTACAAAGAAAACATTTGTAACTACACACACACATTCTTACAAAAACCTTGCATATAAGGTTCTATTCGATACAAAAGTAGTAGTAACAGTACCTGTTGTTGTAAACCAATTTTTCCTTTCCATCTCATGTCTGAAACAATGGTCATGGCTCTGACTTAACTGGTTCTAGACTTGGTTCAATGCTATTATTAGCCCTGCATTATTTTTGCTTGCCAATGCAGCTATTACTGATAATAAAAACCAAGAAACTGTATCTCTCATTCTTTCCTTATCACTTTGTATTTCCACATCAATTTAGCTAATTTATCAAGACTTAAATCTGTATCTATATTCCATAATTAAAGATATATATATATATAT